GCTGAGTAATATTCCATGGTGTATATGTACCACAGCTTCCTCATCCATTCGTCTGCTGATGGGCATCTGGGTTGCTTCCATGTCCTGGCTATTATAAACAGTGCTGCGATGAACATTGGGGTGCACGTGTCTCTTTCAGATCTGGTTTCCTTGGTGTGTATGCCCAGAAGTGGGATTGCTGGGTCATATGGCAGTTCTATTTCCAGCTTTTTAAGAAATCTCTGTGTGGATACTTCTGTTTTACATCCCTGAAGTCACACAGACTTGGGTGTGGACATTCCTGTGGTCATACTGATGTGAATGAGAAGACTCCTGCATTAACAAGCTGTGGTGTGGGCTCCCTGGGGTTAGAATTGGTATGGACACTCCCAGGTTCACAAAGTCATGTACAAACACCTGGGGTTACAGACTGGGATGTCAGTAGTCCTGAGCTCAGTGGATGGGGGTGTGGACAGAGAATGGTGATTTTCTAAAGATATGTGAGTGAGCTGCAGAAACCAGACCTGCTGTCAGCTCCTGTTTGCTAAAATGTAAATTCAGGACTGCACTCATGACAAACTTTATGACATTCCTTTAAGAAAGGGGTTCTTAACATAAAAAAGGAAAATTTGTTCTGGGGAGTTCCCTGGTGGCTTAGTGGTTAGGATTCTGGGCTTTCACTGCTATGGTGCAGGTTCAATCCCTGATTGAGGAGCTGAGATCCCCATAAACCATATGACACAGCCCCCCCTCAAAAAAACACTTTGTTCTAGGGAATCCTATGGCATCTGATCTGACCAAGTCTGTGAACTCCTTCATAGAATGTTTTTAAAAGCATGTGTGTGCAAATACACACACACTCTCTCTCAAATACACAGGATTATTATGGATACCAAGTGAAACAGTATGGTGGTTCCTCAAAGATTTAAACAAAACTTACCATATAATCCAGCAATCCCTGGATCCCAAATATATACTTTTGGGTCTGTATCCAAAGGAGATGAAGTCACTACTCAAAGATATCTGTAACCCCATGTCCCTGAAGTATTATTCACAACAGCAAAAATATGGAAACAACCTAGGTGTCTTGTCAATATACAAATGGACAAAGAAGATTTGGCATATGCATATGACAGAGTATTATTCAGCCATTAAAAAAAAAGCTGCTGGTGGTGGTTTAGTCGCTAAGTCGTGTCTGACTCTTGAGACCCCATGGACTGTATTCCGCCAGGCTCCTCTGTACATGGGACTTTCCAGGCAAGAATACTGGAGTGGATTACCATTTCCTTTTCCAGGGCATCTTCCCAGCCCAAGAATTGAACCCAGGTCATCTGCATTGCAGGCAGATTCTTTACCAACTGAGCTATGAGGGAAATCCATTTGTGACTACATGGATAGACCTCAAGGGCATTATGCTAAATGAAGTCAGAAAACACAAATGCTGCATATGGAATCTAAAAATGGGGGAAGGTGGTGAAAAGGTAGAGCTTCCAGTTATAAGTTCTGGGCTGTAATAGTGCATAGTGACTATACTTCTCAATACCATTTTGTATATTTGAAAGTTTCTTAGAGAGCAAATCATTTTAAAATTAATTTACATTTGGCTGTGCTGGGTCTTTGTTCCTGCATATGGGCTTCCTCTAGTTGTGGCGAGTGTGGGCCACTCTGTAGTTACAGAGCACAGGCTTCAGTAGTTATGCATGGGCTTAGATGCTCCACTGCATGTAGAATCTTCCTGGACCAGGGATCAAACCCGTGTCCCCTGCATTGGCAGGCAGACTCTTAATCACTGGACCTCTACGGAAGTCCAAGAGCAAATCTTAAAAGCTCTTATCACAAGGAAAAAACTCTAACTATGTGATGTGATAGATGTTAACTAAACTTGTGGTAGTCATTTTGCAATACATAAGTATATTAAGTCATTATGTTATATACTTTTGAATTATACATATTATATAGACATGTCAATTACAGTTCCAATAAAAGAAAAAGTATCATATTAAAATGAAACAACAGGCCAGTGTCAGGGGCTGGGTCCGGGGAGAAAGGCGGCCGCCGCTTTGCGGCACCTGCTCCTCTCCGCAATGTCTGCTGGTCGGCCGCGCGCGGAGGTGCTTCTTACAGAAAGGGGTTGCAGGAGACAGCTGCACTTCTGTTTCAACGAAACTTGAAAACAAAGGCGGAAAACAACATGGAGTGCAATAGTGTGGTTGATGGAAACGTCGAAGAAGTTCCCAGTAAGAAGGTCAAGGCTGTCCCCATGTGTAGGGGATCATCTGGATCCCCAAGAGCTGGATTTAGCGATTACCTTGTATCATGGCTCTGTTTTAGAGAAAGACTGTCGTTTGCTCGGATTTGACTTGGCAGCATGTATTGAATTAATAGAACATTTTGATTCAGAAGATCTGGCGAAGTTTCCTGAAGTTGTCTTTGGGTACATGTCTCCAGCCATGATTGTCATCAGCACACCAAACTCTGAATTCAATTCCCTGTTTCCTTGTGAAGTCTTTAGAGATTCAGATCACAAATTTGAGTGGAGCAGAATGCAGTTTCAGACCTGGGCTTTAGATGTGGCCAGTCGCTACAGTTACTCAGTGGAGTTTACTGGTGTGGGGGAACCACCCACAGGAGCTGAGGATGTTGGCTATTGTACCCAGATAGGANTGTTTCAAGAGAACAGCATTGAAACATGTATATTATCTAGGGTGAAACAGATCACCAGCCCAGATTGGGTGCATGAGACAGGTGCTCGGGCCTGGTGCACTGGGAAGACCCAGAAGGATCGGGTGGAGAGGGAGGTGGGAGGGGGGACTGGGATGGGGAATACATGTAAATCCATGGCTGATTCATTTCAATGTATGACAAAAACTACTGTAATGATATAAAGTAATTAGCCTCCAACTAATAAAAATAAATGGAAAAAAAAATAAAATGAAACAACATTGGGGTGCTACAATAAATGAACTTTTCTAATTAGTACCTCAAATTATAAGATCTTATTCACTACAAACAAGGTTAAAAGACAACCCTTAGAATGGGAGAAAATAATAGCAAATGATACACCTGACAAATAATTAATTTCCAAAATATACAAGCAGCTCATACAACTCAAAACCAGAATAACAAACAGCCCAATCAAAAAGTGGGAAAAAGACCTACACAGACATTTTCCCAAAGAAGACATACAGATAACAAACACATGAAAAGATGCTCAACATCATTCATTATTAGAGAAATGCAAATCAAACTATAACGAGATACCACCTCACACAAGTCAGAATAGCCATGATCAAAAAGTCTATAAACAATAAATGCTGGAGAAAAGGGAACCCTCTTGCATTACTGGTGGGAACATAAACTGATATAGCCACTATGCAAGATGGTATGGAGATTCCTTAAAAAGCTAGGAATAAAACCACCATATGACCCAGCAATCCTACTCGTAAGCATGTACCCTGAGGAAACCAAAACTGAAAAAGACACATGTACCCCCGATTTTCATTGCAGCACTGTTTATAATAGCTACAACATGGAAGCAACCTAGATGTCCACTGACAGACGAATGGATAAAGAAGTTGTGGTGCATATATACAATGGAATACTATTCAGCCATAAAAAGGAACACATTTGAGTCAGTTCTAATGAGGTGGACAAACCTAGAGCCTATTACACACAGTGAAGTAAATCAGAAAGAAAAATATAAATATTGTGTACTGATGCATATATATATGGAATGTAGAATGATGGTACTGATGAATTAATTTTCAGGGCAGCAATGGAGGAACAGACATAGAGAACAGGCCTAAGGACGTGGTTGGGGAGGAGAGGAGGGAGAGGGTGAGATATATGGAAACTTACAATACCATATGTAAAATAGATAGCCAATGGGAAATTGCTGTATGACTCAGAGAACTCAAAGAGGGGCTTGGTGAAAATCTAGAAGGGTGGGATTAAACCCGAGTTGGGAGGGAGGGGATGTGGGTGTTCCTATGGCTGATTCTTGTTGATTTGTGACAGAAAACCACAAAATTCTGTAAAGCAATTATCCTTCAATTAAAAAAATAAATTAAAAAAGATCTTATTCAAAGTAGTGACCAGTATTTTAAGATGCCCATGACAACTGTAACATAACATAAACAAGTAACTGTATATGTATTGATCAGAAAATTGCAGGCACTGCTTTTACTATTGTAAAAGTAATTTTACAATACTGATTTGCTGCCAGCATTCAGATTCTGGAGTAAAGCTAAAATTTCAGTTAGTAAAACTGAACTGATTTCCCTCCATTAAGTTCACAAATACCCCTGACTTCTACCCAGGGTTAAGAAGCCCTGCTTCAGGGTGAGTTCTGGACATATTCAGGACACATGGCTGGAAAGATTTAGAGAAAGGCAAGATCCTACTCAAGCAAGACTCTACTCAAGAATACCCCCTTTAGTGCAGACGGACACGGTGGGATGTTTCTTTCCTTGTTGTGTTCATGGTGGTTGCTGGAGGTTCCTATTCAGAGCCTGTATGTTTAGGATGGGTTGACGAGGTATTTGAAAACAAGTTCATCAACTCAAGTTCTGGTTTTCCTGACAGCAAACAGCTTCCGAGTCCTTATCAGATCGCCAGCTAACTAAAAGGTCAAAGTAAAAGAAGTTTTAAACTAAAATATGTTTCCCACTGTCTTCTACTATAATCATTGTTTTCTCAGCTACATTTTTGTGCAGTTTTTGCCTCTACTTTCATTGTGAGCCATAACACAGAGAAAATGCATAAAACATATAATGTTCATTCTTTTTGATATGTAGTTCTCCACTGTGAATAAACCAGGATTTAACAATCCATCCTAAAGCTAATGGGTGTTTGGGCTGTATTTAGTCTGGGGGTACTACAAATAGGCTGGTTAGGAACATTCAAGTACTCTTTTCTTAGTGTAACTAAACACACATGCAGTTTTAGTGGATAATTCCTAACAATTATCTAGCAGTTACAACATTCTATGCTGCCCTTGGTCTATACAAGGGTTCCAATGCTGCACATCCTTTCAGATACTTAGTATTGTTAATCTCTTTAGTTTTAGCTTGTATTTCTCTGAAGAGCAGCTTTTCATGTACTTACTGGGCATGCTCATATTTTCTTTTCCTTATTGATTTATAGCAGCTTTTTAAATATCATGGATACTATACATGTACAGATTATAAATCTTTTCCCACTGTGATCTGCCATTTCATTTTTTTAAGGTGTCTTTTTTACTTCTTATTTTAATGGTAGACCTGGTCTGAATAAACTGCAAAGCCATTGTCAGACAGGGATGTCCTCTAACATGGTGTCCTGAGGATGAGAAGCCCTCTAGCACTGATAGGTTTAGCCCAGACTATTCCAGGCAGACTGGCTCCTCACTGCTCCCCCACCATTTCACCTCAGGGCCTTTGCACTTGCTATTTCCTCTCCCTAGAATGTTCTTACCCTAGATTAATACATGGATTCCCTCCCTTATCTCCTTCAGGTCTCTGCTCAAACATCACCTCAGTGAGACCTTCCACGATAACCTTCTTAAAAACCGCAAAGTGCCAGACCCTAGAATTCTTAATCTCTTGTGTGCTATGTGCTTAGTCTCTTCAGTTGTGTCTGATTTGTTATGATCCTATGGACTGTAGCCCACTGGGCTCCTCTGTCCATGGGATTCTCCAGGCAAGAATACTGGAGTGGGTTACCATGCCCTTCTCCAGGGGACCTTCCTGACCCAAGGATCAAACCTGTGTCTCTTATGTCTTCTGTATTGGCAAGTGGGTTCTTTACCTCTAGCACCAACTGTGAAGCCCTTATCTCTTTACCTTGCTTTAAAATTTTTTCATATCCCAGGTTACTTTTACATATTATATACATATGGGTGGACATAGAGAGAACAAGATAAATAGTATGTGTATGTGTGGGTGGAAACTCCTGCATTCAGACTGTGAATTATTACCTTTCCTAAACTAGAAGCTCTGAGGGTCAGGGAATCTGCCTGTTTTGTTCCCTGATCTATCTTCAAATCTAAAACAATGCCCAGCACATAGCATGTGTCCAATAAACGTTTTCTGAGTACCTCAATGTGTAAAATCATTAAGGCAGTTCCTGGCACATAACATCAGGAGTTTTAGTAAAGGTCTGCTGACTGAAATCTTACCAGTTGATGTAAAAATTTCAAAAAGTAGAATTTTACTCAGTTTTTTCTTAAAGGTGCTATTTACTCAAATTCTTAGATTAAAAAGGCAAATTTACCTTAACGTGTTAAGACGAGCAATTCACTCCACTGTCTTCCACCTACCCAAGAAAAAGAAGAGGGACTCAGATATTTGGTTACGCTTTTCTGCTCACTATACTTGGTTTACCCATTGATTTTTAGAGCTATTGGGAGGTAGGAAACAGAAGTTTGTCCCAGATACCACATGATTTGGGGCAGAAAGAAGCACATGAGGAGGGGGTCACTGTGGACATTGAGGGCTCTGGGTCCATGTTTTCAGACCTCAGATGTCTGCAGGGTGTAGCGCTGTGGGGTGGCCAGGGACTGAGGCAACATGTCCACTGTGCTCATGGGGCAGTCCTGGGGGCAGATCTCCTTGGCCAGCTGCCCCTTCTTCTTCAATGCGCAGGCCTCCTGGTAGGGTGGTGAGATGGGGGGCTGCGTGGGTGGAGTGTACTTGTATTCTGAGCCGTCCTCTAGCTGCAGGGACACACATTGGGAGGGATGGTAAGGACATGGGAACAGAGGATAGCACCTCCCACCCAACCCACTGTTGGCAGGGCACTTACGTCCAGTGGGTAACTGCGGTCTGAATCATAGGCGCTCAGGTCCCCACAGGTCACAAATGGCACAATGATGCGGGTGGGGCCATCCAACTGGTTGAAATCTGGATCTGACAAGCAGGGAGAGATGAGACAAGACAGGGCCAGGGCGTCTGGGGTCAGCTGTGACTCAGGCTGCACCCAAGATGGGTACGGAGGCCTCCCTCACATGTTCACCAGCTACTCTCTACACTCCTGCACCAGAAATCCTTCATTTGGTTCAGATCACCTCCTCAGGGAAGCCCTCCATGATCACCCATTCTAAAACAGCCCTCCCCCACCTGCTTTACTCCCACTGCACGTATGGCCACCTGCCATACGCTGCCTGGACTTTCACTCAAGCATGCTTGACACAAGAGCAGCCTTGTGCTTTTTCCCTCCAGGGGCCAGGCTGAAGGCCCTCACAAGACAAAATTCCCACACAGAGGTGGGGTTTCTACCTGGGGGTGTGACTGAGTCTTCCTAGGCGAGAAACTCCTTAGACAGGTGGAGTGTCCCTTGGGGTAGGACTCAGAACTTTCACCAGGTCTAAGAGTCATCACTAGGGAACTAACACTAGGATCCTCCTAGACCAAAATATCCCTATGGAGTGGAATTTCCAGAGGGTGGGGCTGAGGATCTTTTTGGGACAGCATTCCCTTGAGGGGCAGGGTTTTACCAGGGCATGGGGCTAAGGGCCCTCCTGGGACATAAAATTTCACTGGCAGACAGACTCTCCCCAGGGATGGGGCCCAGGGCTCTCACCATAAGAGTGGTCCAGCAGGGGTTTGGTCAGGTCCGGCAGGAAGCCCTCAGGGGGGTCGTAACCCTTACAGACAGCAAAGGCCTCTATAGGGAGAAGGTGGAGTGAGGGGCAACTGCTGCCTCCACTCCATGTGGGATGGGTCCCTGAGATTCGAAACCCCTGCCCGGCCCCTCCACCCCACTGACCAATGCTGGAGTTCCGGCTGCTTCTGGGCTTGGCACAGAGCACGCTGGAGAAGAAGACACGCAGCTGGCTATAGATCAGCGTCACATCCCGGCCTCGGAAGATCTGCAGGGTGGGGAGGCAGAGATGGAGGCATGAGGATGACCTTTGGGGACTCCTCTCTACCCCCTACCAGGTTCCCTGAGACTTACCTTAGCCACAAAACAGCCCCCTGGCTTCAAGACGTGTGTAGCAATGTTCAGAGCCTATGGGCAGAACAGATGGTTAAGGCTGAGGTAGAGACAGCCAGGAGGGGGCCAAACTGAGGTAGGGACAGCCAGGGTTACTCACAGCTAGGAGGAGCTGGGCCTGCATATACTCATCAACATCGTGGAGGCCGGTTACTGTGGCAAGAGGAACAGCATTAGGGGGCCATACAGTCTAGCTATCTTCTTGTCCCAGAGAGGTTAGAGCACTCAAAACATTTACCAAGCTCTCTTACTGCTAAGGTTCTGCATGCAAATGACTACATCTGCCAACTGGATGCATATTCTGATCTCCTAAGACTAAGGCACTCATTTTCAATCTCAAAACAATCTTAGGCATGAGTATTGTTTCTTCTATCTCCAGTCCAGATCCAGATCAGAATGAACATCTCAGATTCAACACATCCAAAAACAAACTCGTGACTTTCTTGCTGGAACTTGCTCCTCCCATCATTTCCCCCCATCTCATCTGATCCTTCCAGTTGTTCAAGCCAAAACCTTCAAGGTAGTTAGTTACCTTTGATACACACACCCCCTCCCACTCTTCTTACACCCTCATTTAAGCCACTGGCAAACTTTCTCAACTCTACTTTCAAAAGATCTCCTCTACTCATCTCCACCACCATCAGCCACTCATCTGGATGACTACAGTGGCCTCCCCTCCCCAGGTCTCAGCCCTCACACTGCTCACAGCAGCCAGAGGGATCCTGTCATGACACACGTCAGGCATGGCCTTCCTCTGCTCACAACCATCCCATGGCTTTCTCCATGCTCTTGTCTTAGCGAAGGATCCAGTCACCACTGTGGCCCAGAAAGATCCACCTGAGGATCTGATTCCCACCACCTCACTGACCTTACCTCCTACCACTCTCACACTTGCTTACTCTGATCCAGCCACAGTGATCTCACTCTTCATCCGCCTACCTCAAGTCCTGTGTATGTGCCAATCACTTTACCTGGACTGCTCTTTCTCCAGATGTGCCCTAGCCCACTCCCTTGCCTGCTTTAGGTCTTTATGCTAAAGGCAGTGAGGCTTTCTCCACTTTACTTAAAATTCCTCCAGGTATTTCCTCCCTCCCTCTCATTTTCATTATTTCCTCATGGTGCCTATCACCTTTTGACATGCTATATAGTTCAATCATTTGTTTCTTTTCTGTCTGCTCCCACTAGAACACCAGATCTATGAGGTCAGAGATTAGTAGAATTTTATTCACGTTATCCTCCCAACATATATAACAGGGCCTGACACAAGACAGATGCTCAGTAAATGTGCTGAATGGATGGATAGATGGCTGACTTAAAAAAAAAAGAAGTGAACAGTAATGGAACAGTTGCAGAGAGATGAAAAGTTGCTAGATGTGGGAACAGCTGACAGTGCAGGGAAGAAGCAATAAAAGAAGCCAATAGAGGTGGGACATACAGAGAGGAACATGCAAAGGACCCCCTGCCTGGCCTCCCAATCCCTGCTGCTTACCATCAGGAGCCCCGTCACACACCACTAGGTCTGCGGGGCAGCCTTCAAAGTGCTGGATGATCTCCTTGGCAGTGGACAGCTATGGAAGAGAGGGATGATGAGTGGCCCCACAGCACCCCCACCACAGCCCTCTAAGCCCACCTGTCATTGGCCCTGGCCCGCAGCATTAGGTCAGCCAAATTCTCAGGCTTTGCCTGAGACTGGGCTCCATCGCTGGGAATATTTTTTTGCTGTCTCTCTGTGATGACAACTCATTGGCTCTGTTCCTCTGCTGTTATCCTCTCTTGGTTTCTCTCAGTTACTATACCTCTGTCTGTCTTTCTTGGTCTCTTTGACTTTTTCTTTCTTCCACTTGCTGCAAACCCCAGATTTGGGGGGCCTTTGTCCAGGATACACCCCAACACCCCCAGCCATGCTCTCACCTGGGTGATATCCCCCTGGATCTGTAACACACCTGGTAGTGGAGCCATAGCCTGAAGGTCCACAGCCACCACGTGGCCAGACCCTTGGCCCCTGTGGACAACACAGTCCATGTCAGCCCAGTTTTTACTCCAGGTCCACCCTCCACCTAGTCTTCCCTCCCAGCCTCCCATCTGGGACTCCACACTCACCCAATCTTCTGGCTCAGCACCTGGCTCCAGCTGCCTGGGGCCGCACACAGGTCAACTGCCCGCGTCACACCTGAGCGCACACAGGAAGGTGCACTGGTCAGCTGCACCCACCTCTCCAACCTGGGACCCTGCAAAGTTTACCCCTTTCCCCCAGGAAGCACCCAAGCACCCGTATCTACCTGCTGCCCAGTGCCCAGCTCCTTTTGAGTACCTGCCATCTTCCTGACTGCCCCACGGACCCTCCAAGTCAGCCCACCTACCACACGGAGCTCTGTAGACCTAGCCCACTTGTCTATTCCCTTCGCCCACCCCATCCCCCAGTGAATCGCCCGCCAAATGGGGACCTTGGAAGAGTTGGAATTCCTCATCAAGTTGTAGCAGCTTGAAGGCACTGCGGGCACGCCAGCCATTCTCCTTGGCTAAGCGGTAGTAGACATCTCGCTTGTCCTTTGACGTCCGTCCCATCTCCCACACTGTTTGCCCAGGGACCTGCCAACAGTAAGCTGATGCTGTCCCATATCAGTAAGTGGGTGAGTGGGCCATTACCTATCTCTGCAGGGCTGGGAGAACCACATGAACTAAACCAGGCTCATCTGATCAATGTGACAGCTCTCTCAACAGGTGGCGAGGTTGGAGCCCAGTCACTAACCCACTGAGCTCACCGAATCTGAAGGATCCCATCACCGAGGTCTCAGGCTCCACTGCTCACCCTAGAGATTCCATCACTAAACCAACAGACCCCCCCAAAGTCCCACAAACCCAACACTTATCACATAGATGATGTTACTGACCCTGTCCACCTCCCACTGCTGTCACTTACACTCCACATATTAAACCCTGCAAGTCTCATCATCAACCCTTCTCTGCCCACCTTATCCCCAATAACATCTCACCACCACCCCCAGCTCTCCTCGCTACCCCTAGTCATAAAGCCCTACTCAGTTCAGTTCAGTTGCTCAGTCGTGTCCGACTCTTTGCGACCCCGTGAATCGCAGCACGCCAGGCCTCCCTGTCCATCACCAACTCCCGGAGTTTACTCAGACTCATGTCCAAGCCCTACTAGGCCCCATTAATCCCCTGCTTTCACTCCATTACCCTCACACTACCTCACTGCATTCCCCACCTCCTTAATCTCTCTCCCCTGAAATGATTAGGTCCCCAATTATTCCTTTTGTTGTTGTTTAGTCACTAAGTCGTGTCCGACTCTTTTGTGACCCCCATGGACTGTAGCCTGCCAGGCTCCTCTGTCCATGGGATTTTCCAGGCAAGAATACTGGAGTGGGTAACCAATCCCTTCTCCAGGGGATCTTCCTGACCCAGGGATTGAACCCACATCTCCTGCATTGCAGGCAGATTCTTTACTACTGAGCCACTTGGGAAGCCCGATAATTCTTTTATCATCCCCCATTAATACCTGGAGGATCATGGTCTATTAGTTCCCCATTAAACTCTCAGTTCCTATGATTTATCAGCCCCCATTAGCTCAGCCCTCCAATGGCTCCTTCACAGATCACTAGACCCTCGTAACTCTTCTTACCACACTCACCTTAATCCCTGATAATCATACATCAGTTCTCCATTCTCCCCTCACTGCCCACCTGTCTCCCCGCCCAGTAATCAAATCACTTTATGATCACACCCAACAGCTTACTATTACCCTCTCTTTGCTCCCTCTGTTCTCATTACTTCTTCAATGATCATGCCATCATCACAAACTAAAATCCTTTGATCACAATACCCCGTGAGCTTCCCATTCTCTCTTCTTTGATCACTATTCCATTAGTTCCTTGATCATGACCCTCACCTCTATTATTCCCTCCACAGCCTCACCATTATCCTTTGAATCACTATGCTCCATCACTCTTGAATGTCATAACTCCGTCTGTCCCCCAGGGATCACACTGCTACTTGTCTCCCATTATCTTCCAGTTGCCCATTCTACCACCCCCTCATTAATTAACGAACACATCCCCACCGGCCCCCATGAACACATCGACTAAAACACACTTATTAGCCCCCAGTGATTCCCCAATAACACTCCCACCAGACCTCTATTACACCCACGCAGCCCCAAACCTCCACACCTACCCTCTGGCTACACCGCAGGTCCCTCCTCATCATAACCTCAAAGCCCAAGTCCCCATTGGGACCACGAGACCCCCTTCAAGGCAGCTCCGCCGGTATCTGGACCCCTGCGGCCCAGTCCCCCACCCCTAGCCCATCCCGCAGGAGCGGTCCTATTCTCCAAACAAACCTTGGGTCTGGTGCCTACCCAATGCCAGTTGCCCAAACTGCACAGTTGCAGCACCAAGGGCGAACTTCCCTCCTTCCCTCACTCGCGGGACAGTGCAGGCATGCCTTAACTGTCTCAGTCGGGACCAAGTCCTCTGAGCCCCAGGGCCTACCTCCAACTTTCGGAGTGGGGAGAAAAGGAACGAAGGTCCGTGAGCAGCACAAGCCTCGGCGAGAGCGCAAACCGGTGAGAAGTCGTAGGTTTTCAGTTTGGGTTCTTAGTTGCTCCAAAAGTCTGTTGCGCATGCCTAACAGCGCATGCCTAACGGCGACCAGAGTGTGCCACGCCTGTTATCGTGGAACGCGGCGGCTCGCGCGAAGCCGGGACCGGACCTGAACTTACCACGTGAGTTCCGGCAACTCCTGGCGACGTAGCCGGTCTGGCGAATTGCCGTTCCCAGCATGCAACGGGCCGAATAAAGCCGCCGAAGTCTCGCACGGCGAGGCCGAAATGTCGCGAGGCATGAGAACTGACTGTGCTCTTTTGTTATAAGGCGAAAAATCGCCTTTTTTCTCCGCCCCTCCCTTCTAGGACAACTGTATGTCTTGAGCCTGTGAACTACATTTCCCAAGACACTATGCATACGCCGGTACCTACTTATTTTTCGCGAAGTGCAGTTACCTTTGGGGTGGTGAACTTAAGAGGAAGGAGAGTGCGTTAGTTAAGTGCGCGGGCGCGCGAAAGCTACTGGTCTGCGATTTCAAGTCTCACTTCCGCCAAATGATAGCTCATTCTGATTGTTACCTTCTCAGAACTTCGGTTTCTCTATCTGTAGAAAGGGGATAATAAATAGTACAGGCTCCACCTAGAGTTACTGGGAAGATTAAATAGGTGCAGTTGAGCACACTAATTCTTTGTGATTCTGTGTTCTTCAAACACTTTTAACTCGGTCCTAGAAAAAAGACTCCGTCTGGACTCAGTGCACTAGCAAATATAGTAATGGATACATTATAGCATTTACCATGTGCCAGGCACTCTTCTGAGTGCTCTCAGTGATGTGCTGGTAAATGGTTAACAAGCATTTATTTAGGTGGAGAAGGAAAGGAAGCCCTGATTTCTAACATTTGCCAGTTTCCATGGTTTACATACTATTATCTTGTCAGATTTCAGCTTACCAAGGTGTAGTCACGGAACACGGAGTCTAGAAGAGATGCAGTAGTGCACCATGTGTATTATCTCTATTGTACAAATAAAATAGGGATAAATGATCTCTCAGGAGCATAGAAATAATGAAATGTAGTAAAATAATAAGTGATGAATTTTGAGTATCACCTTTCAGAATTTAATTTAGTTGTAAGTTTATACAATTTCATGTTTATTAATAGCTATGTTTCCCCCGTTTACAGATGAGGAAAAGGATATGTATACATGCATATAATATTAGATATGTAAACACATACCATTTACTATGTATATGGTGACATAGAAATATATAGTGATGTCTAATTTTTACTGGTATATAAATTATATATTAGTAAACAATACAATGGGCTTCCCTGGTGGCTCAGAGGTTAAAGCGTCTGCCTGCAATGCAGGAGACCTGGGTTCGATCCCTGGGTCGGGAAGATCCCCTGGAGAAGGAAATGGCAACCCACTCCAGTATTCTTACCTGGAGAATCCCATGGACGGAGGAGCCTGGTAGGCTACAGTCCACGGGGTCACAAAGAGTTGGACAGGACTGAGCGACTTCACTTTCACTAAACAATACAATATATGTATGCCATTATATGAAAATATAGAATATATTTTTGCATTTTGTATAGTATATGTACAATATATATATCATCTTATATAAATGTATATGCTTATGTATATATAAATCTGCTATATATATCGCCTTACTAAAGTAACTGCACTAAATATAAATAAATAATGTTATGTCAGGTGGTGATAAAAGCTATGAAGAATAATAATGGATGAAAGGAATGGAGAGTTACAGGGGTTGAATTGCTATTTTAGTGTGGTCAGGTAAGCTTTCAGAGGAGAGGTGAAATTTGAGCTGAGCCTGAAGGGGAGCACATGCTATGAATATTTGGAGGAAGAGCATTCCAGGCAGAGGGACCGCCAAGAGCAAAGACCCTGAGGTGGGAATGAGCTTGGCGAGTATCCAAACAACTGAACAACCAATTCATCATTCCTTAGAAATGTGAGCATTGCTAGGCAGGGGTTTCTTTTGTTTTGTTTACTGTTGCCTCCCTGGCGCCTAGAATAGGGCTCACATTTGTATTCAATAGATGTTTGCTGAATTCACCCTTTTATTGCTTTGTTCCTTCACTCTTTCCTTAGTGGTATGCTCTGCATTTATGTGGGGCCCTGGGAGGAGGTGTAGACAGCCAGTCACAAACCCTGGAGAGCCAAAGAGGAAGCCAGAGTTTGTCACTGGAGTTCAAGGGCATTGTGGGGGGCAGTGGGAACATGGCCCCCCCTTCAGAGGTTAGCATGTGTGAGAAAGCAAGGGTTCAAGCCACCAGGTGCTGCTCCACAGAAAGGAGGAGGTGCCAGGCATTGGGGGTCCAGGTTCACCCTGTGGGATGCTTCCCACGTCCTGTTTTCTTGCCTCTCGCAAAGAGGATGTTTAACTTTTTGCAAAGAAACTTGCTTCCTCCAGCAGGGCTGGGGGGGGGTGGGGGACAGGAGCCAAGCTCTGAACTCTCCAGGCTCTTCCTGAAGTGAGGTGTCTGCCTGCAACTCCCACCCAGCACCCCACTGAGTGTAAAGTTGTCCTCCCCTCAGCCTCCAGAAAAGGTCAAAGAGAGGGGAGCTGCCAGGCCAGCCCTGTGCTGGAGGGCATCTTACCACGTGAGGGAAACGTGGGGGTGGGGGGCGGGTGTCCAGGCGCAGGGGACCAGACACTGACAAGAAGTCTTGCCGTCCAGGGGCTGCTTTGAGGGACAGAAAAGTTGTTCATGGGGAGCCTGCCTGAAAGGAGAGATTAGAATCCTAAATCCAGCTGAGTGGGGGACTGCTTTCACTGGTGGAGAAGAGTTTATTAATTCCTTTCACAAAGATGTTATTGAGCAATTACTGTATGTCAAGCATAGTTCTTAGCGCTTTACCTGTGCTAATTCCTTCAATCTTCCCCATGATCCTGAGTTAGGCAGTACTTAGCCCCGTGGGAAGCTTGACAGTAAGGTTTTGAGCCTTGCTTCTGGCCACTCAGCTCCTAAGTGGCAGAGCTGGGAAAACTCAAGCTATTAACTGCTTTGCTCCATGGTTCCCTCCCCTGAAGGCTGCTATGCAGTGATTTAATGAAAAGCAGGGGTCTGCTTAGAAGAACTGACAAGAACTTAAACCAACTTTTAATAGATTTGATAGCAATCCCAAATGTCACATGAGGGTCTGCTTTACTGAACCAACAAAAGCCTTAAATGACCCCTAGAAAGGGCCCTACTTTGATGAACGAATACCGCGTTCTTATCCCTGGCACAGCCTCAAGGCCTCAGTCAAGCTTCAAGACATCTGTTCCTTCTAAAGCAGACTGCCTCTGCAGCCAGATTTCACTTTCCCTTTGTTTTTCCTCCTACCAGCATATGTGGAACACCTGCTATTTGCAGTGCCCTGAAACTTAGCTGAGCGATGGGGTGTAGAGCTGGATGAAGACTTGCTCCTCCCCTAGAAGAGTTCACCAGGCAGAAATGAAAATAATAATGATGATAATATGACACTTGATAAGTAGTATTTATCGACCTCCTGCCATGTACCCGGGTGGCCCTGTGCTGGGCAATATTTAAAGGCCTGGGTGGCCCTGGAAGGGGAGGACAATGATCAGAGTAGGAAGGTGCTGCTGGGTGGTAATGGGTGAGGGCATCTGTTTTTTGTCCAAGTTTCACCAGTTCTTTGGACGGGATACTTCAGACTTTTCTTTTTTTTTTTTTTTAATATTTATTTATTTGTTTGGCTGTGCCAGCTCTCAGTTATAGCACATGAGCCCTTAGTTGCAGGGTGTGGGATCTATTTCCCTGACCAGGGGTTGAACCCAGGCCCCCGGCATTGGGAGCTTGTAGTCTTAGCCACCGGACTACCAGGGAAGTCCCCAGACTTTTCTTGAAATCTAGACACCGGCCTAGCCAGTCCCCATCCCCCCGCCCCCTAGTCATTTGGGCTAAGGTCTTGGCTGACAGGTGTCTCTTTCCCTGGCTGGCCTGGGGCACAGGTGTGTAATGGCTCTTGGGGGGAAGAGGAGCGAGGCTAGAGACACAGTAGGCCCAGATAGACAGGGGAGTAGTGTGTGTGTGCACATGCATGCATGCATGTGTTGTGAATACCCTGAGGGTATCTCAGCTGCCTATACGTGGTCCCAGCCACAAACACATGTATGTGAGCTCCACATGTGTCTTACTTAGTATGTTACTTGCCTGGTTGTGTCTTGTGTCCACAGTTGCCTATCCAACTTGTGTTTCCTTTTTGGCAACTGTGTGTTGGTCCCATCTGCTTGTGCAGTTCATCTTTATGAGGCTGTGTGTGTGTTCTCTGAGTGCTTCTGTGTCTCCTTTGTAATGCTCATGAGTGAGAAGTCTGTCTCTTCTCTGTGCATCTGTCTCTGATGTCTGTGTGTCTTTCTTCTCTGTCACCGTGTTTGTGTCTCTACTTGTGAGTGGCTGTAGGTGTGTATGCCCTATGTGTGCTTAGTCAGTCAGTCATGTCCAACTCTCTGCAACCCCCTGGGCTGTAGCTCATCAAGCTCCTCTGTCTATGAGTATTCTCCAGGCAAGAATACTGGAATGTGTGTCCTAAGGGTATTTCCTCTGGTGCAAACAAATGCTCCTTTGTTTCTTCAAGCAGTTTTAGATGTATTTTATGGATTTCCTCTTTGTATTGATAGTAAGTGTACTTTCTGCATCCCTGTTTCTCCCGTTTGTGTGCCTATATGTGTGTTCTCTGTGCACATCTTCCCTGACTTAATTTGTGTGAATAGTTGTGTATACACAGCTGTGTGCCCCTGTTTTCCTGAGTGCAGTTGTGCATGTATCTGTGACTGCAGCTTCTCTGTCTCTACAGTCGTGTCTGCCTGTGGGTGCCTCTTTCTCTGACCAGAGCTGTATGTGGTCACAAGTTCATACACAAGTTCACATGCACAGAGGTATCTCTATAGAGGCTGAACCTGAATGTTGGCCTCCAGGGTCATCTGAACCTGGAACCATGTGTGTGGGAGATGCTGGGACTGTGTATAATGTTGTTGGTTATGTGGAATTGTACTTTGTGTGTTCTGGCTCTGTGTGTGGCTGTGAATCTGTGTGTGATTTGCCCATTGGTTCTCTTTAAAGTGGCTGTGAGTCTGTGGGTGACGATGATATCTGTGAGTCTGCGGTAGCAGTAAAGCAGTGTGAGCCTATTCCTGTATCTGTCTGTTATCTCCATGTGCAGCACTGAGGCTGTGGATGATGATACTTATAAGACTAAGTCCCTCTGCGCAGCTGTCCCATCGCCTTGGCTCTCCATGTGGAGTCTGTGTGTGTTCGAATCAGTCAGCCTGTACTCTGTGTATGTGGCTGTGAGTCTACACGGGAGTTTGTGTACCTCTGTGGGTGGTGGTGAGTCTGCCTCCATCTCTAAGCCCCTGGATAGGGCTGTGATCCCTGAGTGTTTGAGAGTTCTTCTGCTGTGGGGAAGGAAACGCCCCATCCCTCACCCTCCTCCCACTCCCAGTGGGGTGGAAGCTTCGAGGCTAGCTTTGAAGCCCTAGCCAGCCCCTGATGTTTCTGGGAATTCTGTGCTCTCTGTGGGGGCCAAGCAGGTGGGTGGAGGGGCCAGGACCGAGGCTTCTTGTCCACCTGGGCCTCAAGCAGCCCAATCAAGTGGGGCCTGGACCCCATGTCCACCCGCCTGACTTCCTGCAGGAGACACATGCTTCGCCTGAAACAGACATGCCTGTCGCATGCCCTAATGAAGTCAACACACAGACCCCTATTTAAGAGAGACAGACAGATAGACAGACAGTGGGACTCCTCAGTTAGGGTGTGGACAGGTTCCACCCAACGCCTAGGCTGGGGTCCAGGAATTCAGGGCGTGCCTAATTTACAGACAGCGTGTATCCACACTCTCCACCCAACTACAAATGCCCTCCCTGCCTCCCTCTGGGGACCCCCAAGATCTAGGGTCCTTTCTCCATTGGATTATCTGTCTGAGGTCAGCTTATGGTGGCCTGGCTGTGTTTCTCTCTGCACCTGTCCCACTGCTGTCCTCAGATCTGTCTGCTCTTCTGCCTGAATCTGACTTTCTCTGCCCTGTTGCCACCTGCCCCACTATGTGTCTCTCAGCCTCAGCCACTTGCTCTGTCCCTTTGGGCCAGTGTGTCTGTTCTGAATCTCTGTTTGTGGATGTGCCTGGCTGTGTCCACCTGTCCATCTGCATTTGTCCAGGAGCTTGCATGAGCCTCTCCCTGTCCACCGTTTCTGAGTCTTTCTCCTCTTACTGCTCAGCTGCCTGTCTATCACTCCCTCACACTCCCCGTGTCTTTCTACCCCTTCTTGTTTTCTGTCCTTGTGCTATTTCTTCTGCCTGCTCGTCTCTATTTGAGATCATTTCTCTTCCTATCTCTGTCTCTCTCCTGCCATCCATCCCATTCTGCCGTGTGTCTGACCTGAGTCAGTTCCCTCTGTCTGTCTTTTCCTTTCTAGATGTGTGTCTGTTCCCTTGATCTTTCAGTCCATCTCCACCGCCTGCCCGGGAAACCTGTTTCCTTCAACGTGGGTTCAGATGAAGGGAGGCAACCCCTCTGTTTCCCCCACTCAGAACCAGAAGAGGGAAACTGAATAAAAGTTAAAACTTTACAGGGGAGAAAAAAAAAAAAACCACGGGGCAGATGGAGCACCGGCAGTGCTGATTAGCCACCGACAAAACCCGAGGTGTTGATTGGTCAGAGGGCAGGCGAAGGCAGGGTCTGGCTGAGTGGGAGCCCTGCCGCCCGGTGGCAGGGTCCCAGAGCCCCAGTTCTGAGTTGCCGCTTCAAGAGCTGAGAGGAGCAGGGAGGTGAGGAGGGGCTGCTGGCCATCGAGGGGGCTCCTGAGATGCCAAGGCACGAACAGGGGTCCCGGGAGGGGGCTCAGGGTTTTCCTGGAGATTTTTTTAGTCCTAGTGAGGAATTAAATGGGAGGGGGAGTCCTTTTTGTTCCCGGATCCCAGGAAATGAATCCAGGAGTGGGTGGGAGTCTTGAAAGAGTACTCACACTTGACGATGGGGCTCCTTGAGAGCCTTCCCTTACCCACGAAGGGGATTCAGGGCTTGGGTAGGGGGTTTCCTGGAGGCAGTTTTAGTGATGATGGGGACCTTGAATGGGGTTTTCTGAGATACGGCATTCCCAGGAAGTGAGTTCAGGGCTGGGGGGTTTCTTTAGAGACACCCCATCCAGAAGAGGGGGACTCCAGGTTTGCATGGGGATTGCAGAGACACCCCACCCCAGGAAACACATCAGGCACTGGGAGTGGGCTTTTGATGACTGTCTGAGGGACCACTTCTCCTCATGAGGGGAAATTAGGGCTCAGGCGAGGTTCCTGAGACACCCCAAGTTCAGAAAAATTCTCAAGCCTGAAAGTGTCTCTAAAGTGACTTCTACTAAAATAAGGGTGTATAAGACTTGACAACGGTCCTGGAGAATACCTCTCTAGTCCCTAGGAGGGGAATTAAATGGGAGTCCCTGGGTCACTTCTATCCCTGGAAGGGGATTCAGTTTGGAGAATTGCCTTTGGCCTCTAGCGAGAATTTTCAGAGTTGTGGCAGAGAGCAGTTTGCCGTGTCCTGTCCCTGGCAGGACTGGGGTCGCCGAGCCTGCCCCCCACACCCCATCCCCAGCCCCTTCAGCAGGTTGCATCAGCTCTTGCTCAGGCTGGCGGCCCAGGCAGGGAGGAGGGGGGTAGGGGGCGTTAGGAGGGGTGGGCAGTCAGGTTGACACGTGTCCCTGTCAGGAGTGAGAGGCCTAACTGCGTGGTGAGGGTGGAGGGAAGGAGGAGGTGCTCGGGGGACGGGGAAGGAGAGAAACCGAGAGCAAGAGAGAGTGAGTCTGCGGTCTGAGAGGAGAGGCTGTCCCCACTCCAGATGGCCATCTCGTCTGCTGAGGGGTCGGTATCTCTCATTCTGTCTCTGTCCCTACCCCTTTATCTCTGGTTGCCTTCTTTTTTCTCCGTGTCTCAATGAGTAAACTGTCGGTGTCTCTCCCTCTCTGATTCCCTTCTGTCTCTCTCCCATCTCTTTCTCCCTCAGCCTCTCCCTCTTGTCTCCAATCCTCTCCACTTTCCTTCCTGTCTCTCTCATCCCTCTGTCCCCGTTCCCCTCGCCTCATCTCTGTCTCTGTTTCTGTATCTGTTCATCGCCATCAGAGCCCCAGTCCTCTTCACCTAGGTCTCCCCACTTTGTAAGCTGCCCTGCTCCATAACTGACCGCCCCGCCCCATTTCTCTGCCCACAGGATGGAACTGCAGGATCCAAAGATGAACGGAGCCCTCCCTGGGAGTGCTGTGGAGTGAGTCGGGAGCCCAAAGAGTCAAGGTCAGGGGTCAGAATTACCTTCTCATCACCTCCTCAATTTCTCTGCCTATTCTACCTGCAGGCAGGAGCATGAGGGCTTCCTGCCCAGCCGTAGTCCTTCTCCTGGGAGGAAACCGGCCCAGTTCATGGATGTGAGTGACCCCACAGGACCCATCCCAGTTGTATCTTGCCCAACTCAGCCCCTCCCCTACTGCTCCCTCTTCCCCGGCACTTCCCTTTGGCTGTTTAGCCTCTGGTCTCTGTCCCACCCTCCCCTGTTCCTCTCTACTTCCAGCTGCTCCCCTCTAGAATCTCCCTTCCCCACTCTTCCTTTCCCAGCTTCTTCCCATCTTCAAATTCTTTTCCTTCTTCTGATGGCTCTTCCTGGGTTTCTCCCTGCCCCCATCACTTCTTCCCTAGCCTTTCCCAAGGCCCCAGCACTGGTCTCCATCCCTAGTCTCCTTACCTGGTCCCCCTCCCCATGTCCCCTGGGCCTTGCCCCTTACCAGCAGGTCAAGGGGAAGACATCGTTTGGAATGTCAGCGTTCAACCTCAGCAACACCATCATGGGCAGCAGCATCCTGGGGCTGGCCTATGCCATGGCCCACACGGGGATCCTCCTCTTTCTGTGAGTCCTAGGCAGTCTGGGGTGGGGGCTGGGTGTTGTGGGGCCAGTTGGGAGGCCTGGAGGCCAAGTCCGAGCAGTCCCATCTGCCATAGGGCTTTGTTGCTGTGCATCGCTCTTCTGTCTTCGTACTCCATCCATCTCCTGCTGACCTGTGCTGGTGTTGTAGGTGAGACCCAGAGCTCACCTAGACCTTGGCCTCCAGACCCAAGACCAGCCCCTCAGAACTTGGATCCAGAACCCCAGACACCACACTCAACTCTCTGGGCTCCAGACCCCAGACTGTACCCTGGGTCTCATACCTTATCTGGGCTCCCAGATTCCCAAGCACCAATCCTCAGCCCTCAGTCTGACCATCAAAGCCTGTTGCTCAGACCCTCCCTACTCCCAGACCACTCCACTCCACCCTCAGTCTCCAGCTTACTTAGCAAGAAAGCCAGCCCCACAACCCAAGACCCTGGCCCCCCAGCTCCCAAGCTGCCACAGCCCCGGATCTCAGATGTCACTCCTACCCCCAAGACTCCCACTACCCACATCTGGCCCCCAACTTTCTCCCTGGCCACAGATCCTACCTGCCAGACTCCAGTCCCAAGCCCAATCCTAACTACCTAACCCTCACCTCCAGCTCCAAGCAATGAGACCCAATTAGCCCAAGCCCCAGCTCCCTAGCTCCCAGGCTCTCCCACCCCTGGCCTGGCCTCTTGGACCCACAACCTGTCCCTGTCTGGTCCCCTCCCCTCCAGGCATCTGAGCCTATGAACAGCTGGGACAGAGGGCACTGGGGCCTGCGGGGAAAGTAGTGGTGGCGGCGGTCATCTGTCTGCACAATGTTGAGGGTGAGGACTCTGAGACGTGGGGGTCAGCTTGGGGGAAGAGTGTGGGCTGAGGTGGGCTTCCCCAGGCTGGGGTGGGAGGGAGATGAGGGGAATGCTTCTGCTTACACCTGCCCCCACCTGCACCAGCCATGTCCAGTTACCTGTTCATCATCAAATCTGAACTTCCCCTGGTTATCGCCACTTTTCTGGACATGGACCCTGAGGGGTGACTGTGCAACACCCCTTGGCTCTGACCCACAGGCCACTGATTCTGCCTGTGGGGTCCGGCTGCTAGCTTCAACTCTATGTCCAGCTGACTCCCAGGTCTTCTATTTTTGAGGCTGTTGGGCAGGCCGGTTTGGGCAGACTGTGATCCCTGTGTACTGTGATGCTAGCAGTATGTGTGACTGTTGCTCTGGCTAGTGGAGTCCAGTACACCACATGTTGATTTTTGTGACTGTTCTGGCTGACTCCATGTGTCCAGTGTACTCTCATGTTGACCCTGTGGCTACACCTATCCAGTAGACCTAAATTCTGTCCATGGGTTTGATTCTGTGACTCTTGTACTGGCAGATTCTCTGGCCATCTGTATGCTAGCTGACTATAGCTGTGTCCTATATACTGTGACTCCAACCATGTGTGTTTGACATTTGCTTACTCTGACTTTCTCTGTCCAGTGGATTCTGTTTGATTCTGGGTCCATTAGGCTTGGCTGAATTTGTCTAGGTATAAGTGTATGGTCACTGACTCCAGCAGAGTATGTGCACGTGTTTGTGCAGTGTACCGTGGCGCCAGCTATGTATACATGTGCGTGTGTGCTCAGTCACTCAGTCATGTTGGACTCTTTGTGACCTCGTGGACTGTAGCCGATTAGGGCTCCTCTGTTCGTGGAATTTTCCAGGCGAGAATACTGGAATGGGTTGCTGTTTCCTACTCCAATGTATAAATGATTTGTGTTTAACTCTCTGTGTTTAACTTGGTTACCATTGTTCTGGCAAATTCTTTCTGGCTGTTTGTGTGTGAGCCTCAACTGTGACTGTATGTTTTCTGTATTATGGTTCCAACCATATATGTTTGCCTGTTCCAAGTATATATCCAGCCAATTGTGTGTTTAATTATGCATCTGTCTGTTGGCTGAATCTTTTCAGTTGTTTATATATGATAGCTGATTCTGTGTATCCTCTTAGATCTTTGGTTTGATCCTGAAGCCATTCAGATAGCTAACAGTCTATGTGACTAGATGTGTCTAATTGTTATAATTAGCTCCCACTGCATATATGACCAGTGGTGCTTTGTTGGTTTGTAACTGTGTGTCTAGTAGGAAGAGAATATGTGAATGCCTGGAACACAGTAAGCACTATTTAATAAAAATTCTTTGAAGAAATGAACAATTGTTCAGCCAATTCTGTATTAACAGACTATCCTGCCTGGACACCTCCCTCCAATATCTGTATAGATCCCTCTCTTTCTTTGAGCTTGGTTCCAACAGCATGGCCAGCTGGCTAATTCTGTCTCAATTTCCATCTTTGACTCTGTGGCCAAATCGGCTCAACTACTTTCAAGTGCTCAACAAACCTTGAGTTGTTCAAACAATCACACATATGTGTTTCTGACTTTTTGTTGACTCTGCAGATCATCAAGAGATCATCAGACTGTTGTTCTACCTGTTAGACGTACCAGGGTCATGACTCACTCTGTGTCTGGTACCTTGTGTTGGACAATGTGAATCTGGCTGTTGTGGGCTGTTGTTTGCCCATCTCACTGTATGTCCACTTGAGGTCTGATGACACAGTTTGTCCAGCTATGTGTGTGTTCCCAGCTATATCCCTCTGACAGTGTGTGGCTGAGAGTCTGATAATCTGTCTGACTGTTTCTGTCATTCCTGTTGTGCCATTTGTCTCTGTAACCACCTGGAGGGGTCAGCTCATCTCTCTTGACTGTGTGCAGAAACCTGTCTGGCTGTATTCTATGAGTGTCTGCTTGACAGTTTTCTTTGGTAGGCAGTTAGTCACTATGTTTGCCTGTCTCCTCGGGGACTGATTCTTGAAGGGAAACCTCCTTATCATCATTGTCAGTGTTTTAATCATCCTGCCACTGGCCCTCATGAGACACTTGGGTAAAAGGCTTCCTGCCTTGGTCATTTGGATGATGGAATTAGAGAAGGGGAGTCAGATTCAAAGTATCTCAATTTTTAAGGGCTGTGGAATACCAGGGGAGAGCTTGTTTCATGTGGGTTTTAACAGATGAATAGGAGTTTGTCAAGTGTTGGGGGGCTGGTCCAGGTAGAAGTTTGTGCAAAGTGTGGCAAAATTGGGGTGAGAGGGCCTTGAATTGAAGATCAGACTAGGGATTGATATTTGCTCGGGGGGGGGGGTCCCTTGATTTCTGAGACTCTGTATATTGCCCCTTGCAGGCTACCTGGGGTATATCAGTGGTCTCTCTCTGACCTGTATGCTGTTTTTCCTCATTTTGGTGAGTCTGAGGGGGAAGGACATGCAAAAGTACAGAAAAGGTTTGGGGCATTGGGACATAGCCTTTCCCATAACCTCACTTCCCCACCCTCCCTCCTCCAGGTCATCTATAAGAAGTTCCAGCTTGGCTGCACTGTAGGTCACAATGAAACAGCAGTGGACAGCATGAGCTCCCCAAACCTTCCCACCCAGGGGCTCAACACAAGCTGTGAGGCCCAGATGTTCACAGCTGACTCACAGATTGGTGTGCTGGCATATGTCTATGCCTTGCACTCTGCGCAAGTCCTCCGGTTTTGTCCCACACTGCACTCTGCTCAGAGTGGAGCCAGGTATTGGACATCGGGAGCTTCCATGTGTCTGATGTGGAAGGCAGTGGTGGGGCTGCGGGAGTGGGGAGGAGAAGGTGGAACCCTTAGACTCTAATCTCTGTACTTGGACCATTCCCCTAGATGTTCTACACAGTGCCCATTATGGCTTTTGCCTTTGTCTGCCACCCTGAAGTGCTGCCCATCTATACAGAACTCTGCCGGTGAGTGGGCAGGCAAGTGGGCATGGGTGATGGGGCAGCAGGTGGGGTGATAGTCATAATGTCTATCATAGTCCTGGTACTGTACAGCTCGATTGTGGCCAGATTGTGCCAAGGGAGGGGTTTGAGGTGGCTGGGAGGCCTTGGGAGATGCAACTCAGTGACTGTTTACTGATTGGGGCTTAAGTATTCTACCCTTTTAACATCCAATACAAGTGTGAATGGACAAATGGAGAGGCTGAGATCAGATGAAGGGGTGGCATATGTGGATTGGATGGGGAGATGGGGAAGGTCAGATAGAGAGGGATATGGATGTGTGAAGGAAGGGCAGGGATAATGTGAAGATGGGAGGAATGTGTGAATGATCTATCGGGGGGACTGTGTGGATAATCAGAATGGAGGGAGAGGCTGTGACAGTCAAATGAAAAATAGAGACAGAGATGGGCAGAGAGATATGCAGAGTTGGTCATATGGGGTGAGAGGGATGGATAGAGAAAGGAGGCATGGCTAATACAGGGGAGGCAGAGATGGGCATCCCAGTGTGTACTAGCTGAACATCAGCTCTGGGAAGACTCTGGAGGGTGAGGGCTGGTTCGGAGGGGCCTGGACCAAGCCCACGGTCTGGACATGACAGTTCTATGACCTCTATACCTCAGGCCCTCCAAGCGCAGAATGCAGGCTGTGGCCAATGTGTCCACTGGGGCCATGTTCTGCATGTATGGGCTCACGGCGACCTTTGGATACCTCACCTTCTACAGTGAGTGGGGCTGGGGCCAGGGTTGGGTAGAGAGCTAGGGTGGGGTCTGGGTAGATTACTAGGCAGGAGCCTCAGCACCTTCCCTGCATGCTTTCAGGCCCATGGTTTCCAAAGGGACTATACACACCCTGCATGGAGATTTTGTCACTGTCTGTGTGTGCGTGTGTATGTGTGTGCACACATATATGTTTCTGGGACACTGGTCCTGGTGTTCCAATCACATCCCATCTCCTGTGTCCCATGTCCCAGGCAGCATGGAGGCGGAGATGCTACACATGTACAGCCAGCATGACCTGCTCATCCTCTGTGTATGTCTAGCGGTGCTGCTTGCTGTGACTCTCACGGTGCCAGTCGTGCTGTTCCCTGTATGTTGAGGGTGAGGGTGGGCCTACAGGGTGGAGGGGCATGGATGGATGGGTAGAGGGTATAGGCAGGAATGTTTGGATGGAGGGTGGAGGTAGGAGTGGATAGATGGATGGATAGAAGAGGCTGGGATGGACAGACAGGGAAAATAGAGTTGTCATATGGACAGAGAGAGCTAAAATAGATGGTCAGACACAAGGGGCACATCGATGGCAGAATATAAAGAATCAGAAGAACAGTGTTGGTCATTTCTAGGGAGGGGGCACAGATGTCTGACTAGACAGAAGGGAGAGGCAGGAATAGACAGAGGGCAGAGACATAGGTAGATGGATATTCAAGATGAAGAAATAGGGATGGACAGATAAAGGATGGAGACAGAAGTAGTGAGGTGTAGGAGGGACAAGGCTCCCTGATGGAGAGGTTGGCTGAGCAGACAGAGGAGGGAGATGGAAGTCATCAGATGAGGAGAGAGGGGCAGGGACCTCAGGGTGGAAGGACATGTGGGTGGTCAGGAAGGAGGAGGCAGACATAGTTGGACAGAGGAGGACAAGATTTCAGACAGTGAGTGGAGGCATAGATGGATGATCACCCAGAAGGGTCACGGACTGTCAAGCAGAAGGGATGCAGAATGCTCATTTGGAAGGCAGAGGCACAGATGGATGGTCAGAGTGGAGGTAGAGTCAGATGGAGGAGAAATCAGGGGTCTCAGACTGTGTGGTGTTAGAGACAGATAAATACATAGAAGGGGAGGCAGTGCTTGAACCCTGACCCTCATCCTACTGTACTGTGGTCACAGATCTGCCGGGCTCTGCAGCAGCTACTTTTTCCAAGCAAGGCCTTCAGCTGGCTACGCCATGTGGCCATAGCACTGATCCTGCTTGTCTTGGTCAATGTCCTCGTCATTTGTGTGCCAACCATCCGGGATATCTTTGGGGTTATCGGTCTGTATCCCCAACCCTAGTCCCAGACCCCACCTAATATGGGCCTTGTACGCAATCTTACATTGCTTCTTTCCTTCCTGCTTGTCCTTCAGGGTCTACCTCAGCCCCCAGCCTCATTTTCATCCTTCCCAGCATCTTCTACCTCCGCATTGTGCCCTCTGAGGTGGAGCCCCTCTACTCTTGGCCCAAGATCCAGGTGAGCATTCCAGGGGAGGGTTGGGGAAAGAGGGAGCATTCTGAGGAGGGAGCATTCAAGGATAGCTAAGGGTTGAAGAACATTTTTAAGAGGGGGCTTGGAGGAGAGAGGGCAGATGGTCTAGAAGCATGAAGGAGATTGTCATAGGAAGAGGCTGAGCAGACAGAGCACAAGAAGGGTTTGAGAAGACAGCAAGCACTCAAGAAGGGGCTGGCGTGGAAGAAGCATTCTTCAGACAGATGGAAGGAGCACTGTTAGGAGAAGGTTGGAACATTTTCAGGAAAGATGGGGGAGAGTGCTCCCTGAAGAATTCTAGGAAGACGGAAGGAGGAGTCACAGGAAGGGGTTGGTTTAAAAGGAGAGAGAGCAGAAAAGGAGGATCTGGAATGAATGAGGCACTCTCTGGAGGGGATGGGGGAGCATGGGTGTAGGTACACACCCAGCCCCATCTTTTCTCCCTCTCACCCACAGGCTCTGTGTTTTGGTGTCTTGGGGGTCCTCTTCATGGTGATCAGCCTAGGTTTCATGTTTGCCAACTGGACCACAGGCCAGAGCCATGTATCTGGACACTGACCAAGCCCTGCTTCACCTTGGCCCCAGTGTGCATCCACCCGTGTACGTGGAGGGAGATGGACTGCTCTCCCGGTTCCCATCAATATGGCCACAGGCTGAAGAGTGGTCCACTCCCTTCTTCTTCAGGGGATGCCAAGCTCAGATCATGACTCTAACCCCAACCCCAACCCTACAGGAGGATGAGGAGGAGGCTAGGTCCTTGGGGAACCCCTGCCCAGTCCAGTCTTTTCTGCTTCCTCCTTGTAGAAGCTGTTTGTCAGAATCACCGTTGAGCTAAAGGGGAAGAATAAAGATGCTAAATTGCAACTCTAGCATCAGTATTTCATTTCTTTCTGGGACTTCTTAGGGGAGCCTTCCCAGGTTCACACAGGTAAATGGACAGGAGGACTGTACTAGCTCTTATCTGTTCACCCACTTCTCTGCCCTTCAGTAGCTGGCTACAAAACTCACATAGATCCCTTCACTGGCTCACTCAGGAAACATCTTCCAGAGTCTACTGGCAACCAGGCGCTGTTCTAGGTGCTGGGGATATAGCAGCAGATCAAGCAGACAATAATCCCTGAAATTGATGTCCTAGCACAAGAAAGGGCAAAATATGACCTGCTGGCCAAATTCAGTCCAGTGCCTTTTTGTTCGTCCCCCAAGCTAAGAATGGTTTATACATTTCCAAGTGATTGGAAAAAAATCAAAAGAAGAATTTGTGACTGTTGAAAATTAACATGAAATTAAAACCTCAGTGTCTGCAAATAAAGCTTCATTGAAACTGTCACACTCCTTGTACAGGCCACCAAAACAAACAAACAAAACAGTCACACTTGTTCATTTACACATTGATGATGGCTCTTTAGTGTTACAACAGCAGAGATGAGAAGTTGCAAGGGAGACCATAAGGCACATAAAGTCTAAGCTATTCTGACCCTTTTCAGGAAAAAATTGCTAATCTATGATTGAGCTGAAAAGAGGAAAACAGATAAATATGAGCACTATGAGGAAAATGAGTGTAATGCTGGGGTTGGTTGGGGAGGGGTGGGCAATCAGGGAGACCTCACTGAGGAAAGGAAAAGGAGCTGGGTCCTTGATTAACTAGAAGGAGCAAGTCAAGTTTCAGGTAGAGGAAGCAGCCAGTGCAGAGTCCCTGAGGTAGGAGCAAGCATGGCAGGTCCAAGGAGGAACCAGGGTGGCCATTTTGCTCTTCCATCAGCCAATGACACCACAGTCTTGCCAGCAGACTGTTAGGAAACATGGACATTTGCCCCACTAATACGTGGAAAAGGTATTGCTCTTAAAATTCATGTGTGTTTCTTTCAGTTAAGTTCAGTCGCTCCATCATGTCCGACTCTTTGCAACCCCATGGACTGCAGCATACCAGGTTTCCCTGTCTATCACCAGCTCACAGAGCTTGCTCAAATTCATGTGCATCAAGTCAGTGATGCCATCCAACCATCTTGTCCTCTGTCATCCCCTTCTCTTCTAGCCTTCAATCATTCCCAGCATTGGTCTTTTCCAATGAGTCAGCTCTTTGCACCAAGAGGCCAAAATATTGAAATTTCAGCTTCAGCATCAGTCCTTCCAATGAATAGTCAGGACTGATTTCCTTTAGGATTGACTGATTGAATCTCCTTGGAGTCCAAGCGACACTCAAGAGTCTTCCAATACCACAGTATAAAAGCATCAATTCTTAGGTGCTCAGTTTTCTTTATGGTCCAACTTACATCCATACATGACTGCTGGAAAAACCATACATTTGACTAGACAGAACTTTGTTGACAAAGTAATGTCTGCTTTTTAACATGCTGTCTAGGTTGGTCATAGCTTTCCTTCCAAGGAGCAAGTGTCTTTTAATTTCATGGCTGCAGTCACCATATGCAGTGATTTTGGAGCCCAAATAAATAAAGTCTGTCACTGTTTCCATTGTCTCCCCATCTATTTCCCATGAGATGATGGGACCAGATGCCATGATCTTAGTTTTCTGAATGTTAAGCTTTAAGCCAACTTTTACACTCTCCTCTTTCACTTTCATCAGGAGGCTTTTTAGTTCCTTTTCACTCTCTGCCATAAGGGTGGTGTCATCTGCATATCTGAG